AAAATTAATTTATTAATTTAGAATTACTTTTTTAGTAAGGAATTATGATGAGCTTAAGATTATGGATAAGGTCATTAAATATTTATCTTCTAGAAAAAAAAAATTCATTAAATATTAAATAATGTTACCTAAAGTTTTCATCATCGATTAAATTCAATAATTTGGTGAAGTGTCTCTTTCGGTAATGGACCCGACATCGTTTGCCCATGTTGTCCCATAAACCATATCTTGAAAATAAAAAATAAATTATTATCCCAATAATGCAGAAATAATAATAATAAAATTATTCCGTTCTCAAAAATTTAAAATTATATTTAATATTTAAAAGATATGATGACCGAAAGCTGGTACAATGTGCAACTTCCTTTTCCATGGCTCAATTATAGACTCTAGAATTAAACAGATTTGTTTGGAGTAATTCTATGTTAGGTGACCTACTTTCGAGGAAATTTTAAAAGGATGCATGTAAGTGAGGACATAACATGCTGAAATGACTCGTATTGATTTGTAGGAATAGTTTTCACTCTTAGAAGTAGAAACAAGGAGTATGTGACGTGTCTTTCTCACAAAAGAATGTTGGAATTATTAGGGGTTGAATACGGATTTCAAATCCTGAACATGAATATTTAACAAATTAAATAGGAAACAAGCTCTAAACGAGTCGTAACATGATTGTGTCAAAAAAGCTCTTAGCCTTGCAGTTACGTTCTAGTCTAAACTCTATCCCTTCGATAAAATAAATCATCTTTAGGTAAAATAGTCTAAGCATTTCTAAGCTTTCAAATCCATAAACAAGAAGACTATGTTCTAAAAGGGCAAGGAAATTGATGTTTTCAAAGCTACTCAAATTAGGAATATGTTCTCTTGCTTTAAAACATCTTTATCTAAAACATGTCCCGAAGTCTTTTTAGTCACAAGAACAATATTATGCTCAAAGTTGACAACATTATACTATTGTGAAGATTTGTGGCTCCTAACATGGTATCAAAGTCATGCTCTTAACTTAGTCATGTCAATAAAACCTTCAAATGTCGAATAAAGAAGTTATGAGTCTCGAAAGTGTAGTCAAAAGTAAATAAAGTGTCGGACAAATGGTGTATTTTGTTCGAGGGCTCCATAGACTTCAGAGGATGTCATTGGTGTACAAGGCTCTATAGTATAGGATGTCATTGGTAGAAGAGCCTATGCTCAAAGTGGACAATATCATACCATTGTGTAGATCCGTGATTTCTACGCAATTTATTATAATTTTATTAGTCATTACATTTACAATCACATGCTCACAACATTTCAAGTTGTTTGACTTTTATGACCAAAAATCAAATCAAATCAATTCAAATCCACGAGCGAACTGAAAGTATTTTTGTTTATTGCCTCAATTTCTATGGATACTATTTAGGAAAAAAAAACAACATAACTTTTACCATATGAAAAATTATTACAATTACACGTCATTTGCAACAATTTTGAGGGAAAATGCAATAGTATAATAATTATGGTTCATAGTAGGACCTAACTTTTTTGTGACTATTATTTAAGCTTTACTTTCTTTTCCGAATAGAGTTGGATGTGTTGTAATTCTTTACCCACGGTTTACGCATGCCCGCATGAACCCACTAGGTAATCTTATATATGTACAATCTAGGACTGACTACGAAGTATCCATTCATGAGTATGCATCCGTACAGAAACATGTTGGAGAAATTTCCACAACGTGCATGAGATCTTGTATTTTCAAATCACTTATGATGCACATCATACTTCCATATTTCTCATGACATAACCTTCTTACGAGACATGTATTCGTATGCATGACATATCATTCATCCCATCAAATATCTGCCATACATAGTAACATACATACATATATATATATATTCATGGATTTTGGAAAATAATTTTGAGAGGGGGAATTAAATACTAATTTATTAGAGTGGGGAAAAATGTGGATATAATAAAAGTAGGATAGGAAAATAATTGGAATTGGAATGGTCCAAAATGAGCAGCCTTTGTCGTTTTGTGCAGGCTGGTCCACGGAGACAAAACATAGGCACGTGCTTAGAAGAGTGTGGCAAAGGCACTATGGTCGAATGCGACGGTGGCTGTAACGGTAACGGAATATGCTTACTTTACATCCTTTGAATTAAAATATGTACCCCATCAAAATTAAATTAAATTAAATTAAATTAAATATTAAATATCTATTTCTTTTGACCATAGAATTTTGGAGCTTCTATGAAGGAGTGCGTCCGAGTTGATAGTTTATTCTATATAACTTAGCTCGTTAGCCTGTTGCTGATTGACGTGGTCGAGCCCTTACCCTAATTGTGTCATTCTCTTGATTGTCAAAATGGACCAACTCTAGTTGCCATTAAATTTAATAATAAAAAATTAATTAATTAAACACTTTAATTAATCAAGTTTCAGTCACTTCACTATATACTTAAGATAAGTGGTCGATTCTTCCCTCGTTCATAATTACATTTGGGTCAAAAGTTTATTTTTTTCCCGGTAACTACCACAACTACCATTAATTGTCTAATAAACAATTTATAATGATTCTGTATGCTTACAAACGATTTGTATTATAAAAAATCGGGTCATACTCCATTATTTCTTTGTTTCTTTTGCCAAATACTTTGAACTTGTATGAACATACATGCTTGACTTAGGAAATTACTTTTTCAAACGGTTCTTTTACGCAACTGGACTAAATTGGTCCTTCTATTGGACCAAGCTTCGATTGTTTATTTAAAAAGATCTCATCTAACATATATTTGGATAAGGAAAATTACTTTAACTTTGTCGTTTATTGTATCGGTTTTTATTTAGATAATATTATTAAAAAAAATCTTTTTCTAACAGATGTGTTTTAGAACCATAAGGCTCATAGCAATACGTAACCAGCTAAAATTGATAGTGGGCTTAGACTGTTACAGGATCCTATTCTTAGGAATGGATGTTCAAAAAGATGGAACAGTCAACTACACGATTATTAATATATAATATCTTGTAAGAAAGTTTAACGTGGTGGAGCCCTTGTTGGAAGTTTGTGGTTGGAATTTGATCTTTATGTTCATGTTGATAAGCATCACATGCCACCGATTTGATTGTTTTTAGTTCAACAATATGTACGTAAGAGTAAAAATGTTAATTTTTAACATTTTGACGGATGATGCATATGACATTTCCATGATTTTTCGTGCCACCGAAACATTTTAATTGATTATCTATATGCCACTGAATAAGTTTTTGTGCTACAGGATCGGACTTTAAAAGAAAAATGATTTTATGTTGATTCTAAAAAAACTTATATCGAGTGAAAATAGTTATAAATTATTTACGGACGGTTTAAATTGATTAACTTCTAAAAAATAAAGGTTTAAATTGATACATTTATTAGTTTGAGGTAGAAAGCCTCTTTCTTTCAATAAGTTTTGTGGGTACAAACATGGAAATAGGTGAATTGTGATGACAATATATGTACCTTCAATTAAGAAGCATAAAGATATTTGTCCTATAGTTTTTTTTTTTTTTTAAATAATAATATTAATATTGGGGTAAGATTAAAGTCTCTATCATTATTTTTGTAATGTTGTCCTTGTTTTTATCTAGATACTATGCACGTATCATAGTCTCTATTTGAAGAAATACTCCGTAAGTGGCTCCACTTTTGAGGTCAGGGAATGCAAACACATGCAACTCCCTACACATGATCAACACGTGCGAGTGTGGATCCCCACACGGTTCGCACCCCATGTATCCATCATAGTCAAGCTAGTTGTTCGTAACGACGTCCAAAGGTTAGTAGACTCCTAAGTGTCATGTGAGGCATGATCATCATCATCGTAGTGTACGCATCCGTACTCGTCATCATAAATGGGGAAGTAATCCGATGTATATGTACACACAAAATACTTGAAATCCCTATAGTTTTCATCTTTAAATCATCTTTATTACACAACCCTATATACCGTTTACATATTACTCTAAGTAACGTGTATGTCTTGGTCTTCATACGTTCATCATCATTAAACATTAACTAAGGTTGTGCTTTAGAAAAATCATCGTTATAATGCATCATGACATTTAATACATGCACATCGTCTTAATATGGAATAACGTCATATTAAGTCATCTAATTATCATACATCTTACACCGTCATGTTATCATACATCATCATCATCATATCATCATCATACAACGTCATCATGTAACATCATCGTATAGCATCATGTAACATCATCGTATAGCATCATATAACATCGTATAGCATCATCATACAACGTCATCATGTAACATCATCGTATAACATCATATAACATCGTATAGCATCATCATATAACATGGTCACATCATCATATATCACAGTCTCATCATCATATAATATAATCACATCATCATATAATATAAAGCATAAATTATACATGCAAAGGTCACTGGGCACGTGTCGTCATACGTAAAGCAAGTCTTCCGATTGATCTGATAGTAGTGCTACATAATTTGGTTAGCCTATGTCGAAACTACTATGATTCCTTGATGCAAGCCATATCAAACCCATGTCGGATCAGCCAAAATGTCGACCACCTTGAGCCGTCAAAGAATATATTCTCCAACTAGTTTCGAATGGGATAATAAAATGGAGGCCTAACACCCCACGTATCAATTTAAGCAATTACTTAAAATTAATTCGTTCAAATTAAACTTAACATAATTGAGAATTGAGTTTGAAAACTGAAACAAAAAAATTTGTTTTAGAAATTTAATTTCGAATTTACATGATTAGGAAGGCGAGACTCGAAATATTGTAGAAAAACAAGAGGCAAAATTTTAAAAATAAAAAAGTAGAAAAACAAAATAGTATGAAATTAGCTTGAATAATTAGAAAAAACAAAAACATTAACGACTAAGATAGTATTGGACTTCGGAACTTGCACTTACAATCATCAAAAATCGCAGGACGGATAGCTTTGACGATTATATTCTAACAATTATTAGAGACATAGAAATGATGAATTCACATTCAAGACCGATCTCATTCACATACAATTTGTAGGATTTTCTGTGTCTATTCCAATGCTATCTTTCATATAAAAAAAGCGAAAAGAAATGACAAAAACTTGGTAGAATTCGCAGAATCTGTAAGAAGGAGCCCTAAAAGCTATTTGTGTTCTATATGCCTCTCTGCTGGCGAAGTGTGGTTGAGAGGTAGAAACTTGGTCAGATTTTTCCGAATTGGAAATTTCTTAAGCAGACCAAACATACACAAGCCTATCCAAATCCAAATCCAAAACACAATAAGAAAAGAAATCAAAAAAGAAAGAAGGAAAAGATTAATCCAGTTTCGTTCACGATCAGATCCAAAATAAAGATTAAGAACGAAAGATAACGAAAGGAGGAAAACAAGAATTTCACCTGACGCACAGATCTGATCCCTAATTCTTCAGATTCTTCTGACTCTTCGAGTGCCGATTTTTGTTTCTCCTGCAGTAATCACAGATCTCTCTAGATCCACCGCTAATGGTGGCATCTTGTTTTCCTTCGTCATGCTCCGCAGCAAATACCTAGGAGCCGCCTCCTTCCGCTCCACAGAATACGCCGCAGAAACCGATTTCCTCAAGCTATTAACAACCTTCTTTGAACTGTGTCGCTTTGAAGATTCAACCGTCACACCGAGTCTATAGGGAGTCTTGATCTCGGCCACGGATTCGGCTTTCTTTCGCTTGAGCCTCTCGTTCCTCCTCGCGGAATACTCATCGTAGAATCTCCCTCGCTCGAACAGAGTACTCGAATTCACGCCTAATTGATCACCTACTCCGCCAGTTCCAGACTCTTCACATCCTAATTCCATCCTAACCATGCTAGCCAGAGCCTGTAATTCGCAAGTAATCGTCCGATACTCAGGTCGGAGCTCCGATGCTTGCAGATCCGAAGGACGGTTCGTTTTCAGCGATTTCGTCAAAGAACCTGTCCGCAGACGAAATCGTTGTTCATCAACAAAATACTCGCAAAACTAAAGAAAAACAAGCAGGATCTCCATCGATAATCCACATAAAATTCAATCGGTTGATTCTAACATACCGGGCGGCGTTTGTAACGAGGTTGTTGAATTCGATTGAAGAACCTGGCGAGATCTGAGCCGCAAGGGCGATCTGGCGAGCGGCGGCCTGCGATCAGACCTCATCTTAGACATTGAAGTAAGAAATCAAATACCTAGAGGGAGGAAGAAGAAGAAATAGAGAGATCAGAATGCTGTTTTGTAGCTGGAATCCGAGAATGAGTTTGGTTTCGTTGCAGAGTTTTTGCGATTAGTTTGAATTGGGATTTAAACGAGGGGAGCGTCTCAACGGTCATATATTTTTAAGCCGTAGATGAGAGGCTGACATGGCAAGTGACAACTGCGTGAGATTTATTTATTTATTATTTTTCCTTAAATTTGTTTTCTTTTTCCACAAATGGCAGTCTACAAAAATAATAGCAATAATAGAAATAATAACAGTAATAACGTATAATCCTCGTTTAAGACCATTTAATATCTAAATTATCTATTTTTTTTAATTTTCAAATCTTTAAAATTCGCAACTTAATTTCTATATATATTTTTTAAAAATAACATTTTTAAGAGGCTTACAAATTTATTCTAAAATTGGTTGAAGAATTAAAAAAAAAAAAAAAACCATGCAATTAAATAAAATTAAAACAAATAATACGAGCTCATGAGTTTGTTTTGAACTTCTCCAAAAGACCTGAAAATATAGTTCTTACTTATAAATCCATAATCCTCTTTTAAATTAGTCAATGTGGGACTCCTTCCCAACAATCCTTTCTAGGATCCCAAATGAATTGACTTATTCGAAAAAAGTCTTAATCGTTGGAAGATTTATCTCGTGTCTGGTACTGCAAGAACTCCAAATCATTCTCTTGAAGCTCATCCTCTTCATCAGAAATGATCCACTTGCCTCGAAATAACCTAGCCCAATAGGAAAATCCGAATTCATTGAGCCTTTCGATTGGCGCCATATTCTAGGAGCCCAAACTATGTGATTGAATAAATCCTCCTCTATCTATTGCGACTCCTTTCCCTTCTTCAAACTCCAATTCGTATTGTTCATAGAGAAATTTCTGATCAACGATAGAACATGATCCATTTTGTATCATATCTAAGGGATTTTTGAAGAAAGAATGTCACTCGATTATTATTAGATCGACTGTAATCTTTTTCGGTAGATCCCAATTCCAACAGAGGGTCTTCTATAAAAGTATTTCAATAGTTTTATTACATTATTTAATTTTTAGAATAACTCTATTTTACTTTTATTAAATTAATTAACTAATTTTTAATTATATACCTTAAATTTTAGGCTTTTAAATTTATTTTCTAATAAATTTCAATAATTTTCTGCATAAATCAATTTTATAAAATTATATAAACTCTTAATCCTAAATATTTAATATTGTATGCGGTGAATAAATTATATTAAAGGAGAGAAAATATATTTTATTATAAATAGTGAGTATGATAATCAAATTAAAATTTAATTATAAACGTTATATTTAAACAATCAAATATAATTAATTTATCTTTTGTAGAAATTAAAATTGAATTTCTAGCGTAAAAATGATTTTTCTTAAAAGGAAGTGCAGAAGCTGAACGACTTGTTCCTCAAGATATCTGGGTCAATTTTTTCACTACAAATCAAGCAACACAAGACTCCCGCGATCTTCCCAATCTTTCTCACAACTCGCTCTCTCAAGGTTCTTAACTTCTTTTTCTCTCCATTTTTGATCCGCCAAGTTTTTGTTTATAGCATTTCTCTCTCTCGGCGATGGTTTACGATTTGTCTGGTGAATTATGCTGTGTTTGATAGTTTGTTTTTATAGTTTCTACTAGTTTCGTTGTGTTCTTTGATTCTCTGCCGAATTAGGGAGGAAAAACAATGAATTCTGTATGCCTCCAGTTCTCCCTCTCTTCTCTGTTTTTGTCTCGTCTCTGCATCATCTTCTGTACGGAAAATTTATTGAATGAGCCCCACACTACGTGTCTGCCTGTTTCGAAGAATCAAATGTGATTTTCCAGTTTCTGTGCTCTCAATTATAATAACCATTGCTTTTAAGATATGTTTATTATTGTGATCTTCATGGACTTTCAAGCGACACTAGAAAAATATGTATAATTTTAAGCTATAAATTTGAAGTTAGGAAACAAACAACTACTGTTTCGTAGCCAAAGTAAAAAATCCTGTGTAAAGTGTATGTTGTCTGCTCACCCCAATTCAACACTCTTGGGATTGGATTGGTGTGGAAATTCAAGTTGGTTGAACAATAAGCCCCAAAATTTTGATTGGTGGGTCACTTTGGTCTAGTACATGCTTTCAACACTAAAACATGCCTTCATATGTGTGTATTTCCTTTGTTAATCTATTTCAAATTTGTTGCTGATTTTTCATAATTCTAAAGATTTGTAGATCAGTGTGATCTTTATGATGGCAACTGAACCGAAGGCAGCTACTGAGGAAGTGAAAGTTGACCTCTTCGAGGATGACGATGAGTTCGAAGAGTTTGAGATTAATGAAGGTATGACTTGTAGTTATTTGTCTTCTATTTTTCATAATACTATCGTTTTCCATTGGCACTCAGTTTTCATTTATGCTTGTCCTGCAATTTCTTCTTTGTTTCATCCAAAAAATGTTGAAGTTAACAGTCTGGGTAATCCTGTTACAGATTTAGTCCTAATTGCTAGTTTTCTTCATTTGGATGCCCTATTACGGTTGTTTTGTTCACTCACTATTTCATGGTAAATCCTTGGAGTCCCATGTTTGAAAAAAATGAGCTAGAATGTTTGTAAACTCAATTACAATAGTGACAATCAATGGACAAAAGTATGAACCAGGATGAAGAAGAGTTGGAATAATAGTTTTTAAAAGATATGCCCCTTAAGCGGTGGGTCTGTGATACAATGCCACTACAAGTGTACACACGTTACACTCATGGTAGAAAGAAGAACCCATTGGTTGAATTTTTCTTTATGCAGTTTTTTTCAGTTTCCGTACGGTAATGACGAGTTCTCCACCTTCATTTCTATTTTTAGCTAATTTCCTTGTTTTAGGAGGATGATTCTTCATGATTGACTCATGGTTTCTTTGATGTAGCAATGGTTATATACAACTTGTATAAATAGTCATAAACATCCATAAAAATGGTACCTAAGAATTTTCAATTCAGTCTTGAGTACTCTAACTTAAGGTTTCTTCTATTTGTGCCTTACAATTATCTAAAATAGGTCGAAAGAAAAATTCTACTTCTTCCCCCACACCGTCTACTTCCACTTACAACCCATAACTCGATTGCAGTCTTGGACCTGTAACCGTCTTTTTCTTTTTAAGATATTAATACCCTCTAGATGTTTGCTTTTAAGTTGACATAATTACTTATGAAAAAACAGTTAATTGAAATATTTTTTTTCCCCTAAAGATAAAAGAAGTTTCCTTGTATCCTCAAAAATACTAGGAGTAATACTCAAGAAGTTGGTGGTAGAGCTTTCAAATGGAGTTTGTGGTTGATTTCTGAATAATCTACAGATTTTGCTTTGATTGCTGAGGGATTGGCAGAATAAACTTATTCCAATTTTATATTTATACAAACAAATTGATGATGACCTTAAAGCTAAAACCACTTCACTTTGCTCAATGGAAGTGATTACGGCTACCTGACCAACATTCATATCGTATGCGTGGTAGCCTGATCTTGTTGTTGACTGAAACTATGATTTGAAGATCCTGCATATCCTTTAAAAGGAAAAATTTATAGTCATAAGGAAGTTTTGGAGTTGTTTAAATGGAGCATTATAGATTGCTGGCCTGATTCCGTTAATTGTACTCACTAAGAATGTGTTCTTGTTGATCTTTCACTTGCTTAATGTTGACTTAGTACTCTGCTGAACATCTCTCGACTACAAAAACCAAAGTTCTTTTGTTCTTGGCATACCATCTTTAAGCCTTCGGATATTTTTATAACCATTCCTTGTGTTCTGTTTGTTAAAATGAATTACAGAGTGGGAAGTCAAGGAAGGTAAAGAAATTACTCAGCAGTGGGAAGACGACTGGGACGATGACGATGTGAATGACGACTTCTCGTTGCAACTTAAGAGAGAATTGGAGCACAATGCTGTGAGAAAATGAAGAGACACTTAGGAATCTTATTCAACCAGGAATGTACCAAAAACTTCAACCATTATGAACTTGCTGTCATGAATACTGATGCCCATTCTTCCATAATATTTGAATTTTCTTCCTAGTACACGTTAGTGATACTAACACCATACATCGAATGCTTGCTTGGCTAGCTGCATCAACTTGGATCCGACCTTGAGGTTTAAAATTTGATCAATTTTGGGTGTGGCCTTGTGAGAAGGAATTGATGAGGGGCAAGAAAAAAGGTACGGAATTCTGTATCATATCCATTTGTTTTCTTTCATAGTAAGAACATTAAGTGCTCCATACAGAGAGAAGCTTGGCATCATCATATTCAAAGTAAAGTAAAGAGAGACTCAAAAAGGGAAAGAAAATAGTTCGAAACTCTATCATAAGAACATTCTTAAGGAAAGATAATAGTTATAAGCTCAGGACTTCTGTAATGTAGTCTGGAAAAACCTTGAATGAATCTAGTACAAATTAAATGAAAGATAATAGTTAGGTCTTGAATCAATCAACTTTGTTAATGAAAACCAATTAATTTTTTGTTTGCTACTGAAATTTACTTATAACCTGTTATAACGGTTAATTCTTGAACCATATGGGATTGAGATACAAAATGATAATGTTCAAATAGTACGTAACAACTCACTTTTTGAGACACTTGAGCCATAGGCTGCCACGGATGTGGAGTGTTTAAAAGACTTGATTCAGTGTCCCCTATAGTTGCATAGTGTCACAACCATACTATGAGCAAAAGTAGGTTGTGATCTTCATGTTGAGACAAGCAAAGCGGCAACTCTTAAGTGGTGCACTTTCGGTCACGGGAGAGCTAAGACAAACAAGTGTCATGATGCAACCGAGGAGAATAGTATATCATCCAACACACCAATAATGTGTACATTGAAAAGAAGATGAGACATAAGCAAGTAGGGGCAAAGAGTATATATGAGTATCAGAGATAGACTTGTTGAAGGGTTGGGTAGGGCCTCGGCCTCCACCCTGAAAGTTGGGGTTTTTGAGGGAATTTGAACATGTGGTTCTGGATTCAAGTTCATCCATATGACATATGAAAGCTCGCCAAATTTGGTGCCAATTGGACATGAAACTGACGCTCCACGACACCGATGACCGTTAACCAAAATCATGTCTACATGTACCAAATTGGAAATGCCTCAAAATCATGTCTACACCCACTAGATAAGGGGAGACATGGTATCAACTCTCCACCACCCCTGGGCCATGTGACCTAAGCGAGCTACTCTGTGGTACATACCTGTGTCACAATCAGGGCGAGCGTTGCGAGACAAGTGTTTTAGGCAACTTCCTTTTAAATGAGTTTTTTTAAGGACAATGTTGAACGACACAAGTGTGTTGACATTGTGCCCCAACCCATGTGTCGGAGGTTGGATCATACACCCACTATCCGTTACGAAGTCCGTAAATGAGGGTCCAATATGCCTTGATAGAACTTAGATGGATGGATATTCAGGATGTCCCAGTATTATGAACGACACATGGTTTCGTTTTCAATGACATGATCGAGTGAGTTGTAATGGCCGACGACACCTCACGACTTCGAATGGCATCAAGACATAGGTGCCATATTAAGTTGAGAACCTAGATGATGTGGGACGCAATGTTGTATTGAGAGACCTTGAACATGCACGCGCAAGCAGCGTGTGTGGCCGAATAAGCTTAGATTATGCACAAGTTGTGTTCGGTTGATAAAGACAAATCTCGCCTAAGGTTTGACAAAGTCACAACGCTGAACAAAAAATGAATATGGGGCTTCGATTCCCTTCAGGGCTGGTCGTAAGTGTGTCAAGATCACGACATCGCATAGTTGAAAATATACGACCATGACACACACCTCCATTATGCGCTTGCCATTGACCTCCTAATTCTTGTTCAATGTAAACAAGAAAGAATAGCAAGAATGAAGCATAATAATATAGATCAATGTTGTGATACTTTCTTAGTATGATTTGTAAGAGACGCGTACGCCATAATATGATATGCGACTCTTTCTTTCTATTGGTTTCTAGCAACGTAAGCATGCACTAGCATGTAGCAAGACATAGGGGTATGCAAACGAGCCCACCTAGTGGATTCTTGAGTGAACCGAGAAATATTATGCATCCAATTTTATCCAAAAAAAAAAAAAAAACCAAGAAAATAGGTAGGTCAGTAGCATCGATTTCAACATTTTTTTTCTTCTACCTTTCACAAATCTATGTTTTCTGTTGACTCGATTCATCCTTTTGACCGGTCTATTTTCTAGCTGACTCCTTTTGACCGTTCATATGGTTAAATGAACCTTTTCAAACAATAAAGAGATATATGAAGTAAAACTAAAACCTATTACTTTTGTTACATATATCATATTTCAATAGACACGATCATATCACATTTTCATTTTAATGAAAAATTTAATCTAACCACGTTTATTATCACAAATAATGAGAATTCTTCAATAAATTCATAATATTTTTAATGAAGTATATTATTACTCAAATGAATTAATATTTTCATAATTAATTTTATATATCTTATGAAATTAATCATGAAAAGTATTACTTTAGTTCATGAAATTTGTAGAAATCTAAAATAAAAAATAACTTAAAAAACAATTTTTTAATGATTTTTTTTAATGTCGGATTGAAACAGAGGGGGAGTGGATGGTGGTCCAATCAGCTCAACTGTTAAAATTGTTGTGTAAGAGAAGTTTCTTAGAAGCTATTGGGAATGATCATTGTAAAAGCCTGCAAAATTGGGGCCGTTGAACGTGCAGAATATAGTTTCATCTTCTTTCCCTTTTCGTCTGCCAATCGACATTGATTTCATCGTGTTCATTCCACAAAACCTTCCAACAATGGCGACTCTGACCAACTGAAAACAACACCCACGATCTGCTTTCCCCTGTTTCTGCCTTATGGCTCGCCCCCTCCGCTCTCTCCTCCCCTCCTTATGCCTCGCCTTCTTCTTCTTCTTCTTCTTCTTCTTCACATTTTTCGATTGTTTTCTCGTTGCTGCTCAGGATCCCGACAACAATCGATTAACCCCAATCAACCGCGATCTTTATCATTCTAGGTTTGTTATTTTCTGATTCGGATTTCGCCACTTCTTTTTCTCTCTTTTCACTTTCTTCCTGATTAGAATGGATGAGATTAGATGCGAAGTATAATTTGCCGGTTGGAGTATTAATGATTCTTATTATCGCTCTTCTCTGTCTGGATTTTGGGTATTTAATCATATAGCTGATGCAATTTCTATGTCTCGGTTCTAGAAATTTGATGTATTAGATTCTGCCTAGATTTGTCTGTATCTAACTTTCTCAATACTGAAGAACGTGAAATTTTGATCTAATGAGTTTTTGGGGGCATCACTATCTTAACGAGTCTGATACAACTCTAGGGTTTCGTGATCTTTGTTGAATATTAACCTGGCAGTAATATGGTTTGTTGAATACTTTCAACATCTGAAACGATCATGTTGTTGTTTTGTTTATATAGCGATCTGTTCATTTAACAATGTTCTACCCGGACTGAAAGTGTTCCCAATTCGTTGGGTGATTGGATCTTGCAGTGTTGATTTGATGAAGGAGATAGAAGCTGTGGTCCATCGGCACTCTGATAAGTTGACTGTATGTTCTTGTTGTTGGTTCTCCTTTATTCAGGCATTATGCTTTGGTTTGGTATTTACTTACAATTTTGAAGCAGATAGAGACAATGAAGTCTAGAAATAAGGGTTATGTTGTAGAGATGCCAGTGGTTACTTATCGCCATGGAAGGAATAATATTGATGACATCTCGAAGTTCCGGATACTTCTTGTAAGTTTTCTGTTCAATTACATATTCGTTTGATCTTCTAGGTTTTCATTTCCTTAGTGATATTTTGGGATTGAAACATGCCTGTTTAGTTCTTGAAATAAATTAAAATGGGCTTACTTTAGAATTCTGTTCTTCCTGTCATTCTTTCTTTTGATTAAGTGAAGATATCATCTCAGTTGGCAATTGCTGGTGTTCTTGACAGATGATTCCTCCTTGTCTTCCAGAGTTTTGGACAGCATGGAAGGGAGCTCATAACAACAGAACTTGCGCTAAGAATTCTTTTAATCTTGAGTGAAGAACTGTTTTTGCCCCACATGGATCGAGCTTCCTTGAACAACACACTTAACAAGCTTGTCATCAAGGTTTGTGTGATAGTAAAACGGCCTTATTGGCAACTTTTCTGTTGATTTGTTCAGGCTGTAATGTTTTACATTGATAAGTGAAATAAGTTATGGAGCATACAATTTTTGGTTCCATAATTTTAGGAAGTTTGTAGCAATGAAGTTCATGCAGTTAACACTGCATTTTAGTTAACAAAACTGAAAGTTTTGTTCATGCTTGAGCTTGAAAATATATTTGTCACCCTATATTTATTAAGTTCTTCCATGTGGGTTAAAATTCAATTGGTTAATGGACTGATAAGAGCTTGAAAGAGATATATGTTCTAACTGATATTAGTGCTTCAAAATTAAGTCCCGCGTTTCTGTATGCATAAATAATGTGCCTGCTCATGGATGTTGTCAGGTTGTGCCAATGGAAAACTTAAATGGGCGCAGGCTTGTTGAGGGTGGGGATCTATGTGAAAGAAGAAATGGTAAGGCAGCTGGTTTAATTTAATCCATTATATGTTCATACAAGGTATTCAAGGTGGATACTGGCATGCCTGAGTTTGTGTTCTTATGGCAGGGAGAGGTGTTGATCTGAACAGGAATTGGAGCGTTGATTGGGGTAAAAAGGAGAAGGTTGGTATCTATCTCTGGTTCCCACTTGAACATTTGACGAGGATTTGATATTGTCTGTTGGATGAGTTATGAGTTCTATGAGATCACACATCAGTTGGAGAGGGAAACGAAGTATTCCTTATAAGAGTGTGTAAACCAATCCCTATTAGACACGTTTTAAAACCTTGAGGGAAAGCCCAAAGAGGACAATATCTACTAGTGGTGGGGTTGGGTTGCTACAAATGGTATCAGAGCCAGACACCGAGCTGTGTGCCAGCGAGGACGCTGGGCCCTAGGGGGGGTGAATTATGAGATCCCACATTAGTTGGAGAGGGGAACGAAGCGTTGTTCAATTGATTTCTCTCTGGCTGTATGGTAGTTGTAATACTCTCTTCTGTCCAAAGATTTTTAATCCTCCTCCTTCCTATTTGTTTCAGGATTATGATCCTTACGAGGAAAATCCTGGTTTGTCACCTTTCAGCGAACCAGAAACTCAAATTATGCGAAAACTTGCCTTGACATTTGATCCACATA